TCAGCATCTGGATCCAAAGAATCAGAAGCAAAATGTTACCTCCCTTGTCAGCATTTTGCAAGGACTATTCCCTCTGGCGCACCTTGGTCCATTCCTCCTCCACTCCCATAACTCCCCACATCCCTATGGCACCTTCCCATACAATCACAGAAGATGCAAGACTTGCCTGCATACCTCCTCCCTATCCAAGGCTTCAGACACATCTACCAGGCAAAGCAGCGATTTACATTTATTTCACTCAATCTAGTCTAATGCATTCATTGCTCACAATGTGATCCTCTCTATATTGGGGAGGCAAAACATAGCTACTTTGCTGAACCAGTATGTTCTTTTCATAAAAATAGACCCAACCTTCCAGTTGCTTGCTACTTCAACCGTGCTCCCTAGCCAACAATTCTATCTCGGGCCACGTGCAGTGCTCGAGTGAGACTTGGTGCAAGCTAGAAGAACAGCATTTCATCACCCACTTTGAAACTCTGCACCCATTTGAGCTCAGTATAGAGCTCTATAATTTTAGGGCCTGAACACCGCCTTTCATGCTCTTTGCCCATGCTTCAGGCCCTGTCACGACATGGGCTGCATTCTGCACAGCCAACACATTTTCACTAACTCATTGTGACCGCTACCAGTTCTCTCCTTCCCTGCTTTAAAATCAACCACCCCCTCTGCCTGTCTAACTGTCTTTCTTTCACTCTGGGATCAATCTACACCTATTCACTCACTCCTGTCATCAGTTAAATACCACCTTTTCCAGGCTACCATCAGTTCTGAAGAGGGGGTCACTGGATTTGAAACATAAACAAATTATTTATTTCTAAAGCAAAGTTAAAAACTTTTAAAATGTTTGTTTTAAATGTTTGATTTCACAGAACAGAATACAACCTGTCCTCTCTCTCAATGTTAGTTTGGTTCAGATACAATCAGAAAAACTAAGGATATCAGTGATCATTCTTTACAACTATTTTTCAAACTATTGGTTATTGTTTGCTCAGTGGTAGAATGCAATAGTTACTATGAGACTTTGGAAAGTCTTGAGACTTTTTAATTGGTCTCAGCTCAGAAAGCAATGAGGTGTTAAAATTGACCAGTGTCACAATACATCAGGAGTCCTTTGACACTTCACTTACATGAGCATTATTTATGAAATAACTTGCATAGGCATTACAATAATTCAACCAGTCTCATGTTCAGTTTATTATGTAAGCAAGTTAACATTATCAAAAACACACCCACTGTCAACTTTGATTTGCCACCTAGGAACCCCAGCTGTGAGCAAACAGCAGTGAACATCAAGCCTGGATGAGCTCCCTTCTAATTCAATTGACTTCTGACCCTGCTTGGTTCATTTTTGCATAAACATGCCCAAATACAATGCAATATTATTACAAGAGCTCATAAAGTACCGCCTAAGTAAATTTATTGTTAGAACCCTCACTAATTTTGCATTATTGTTTTATTCCTTTTATCAATTTTGGTTTGAGCTGTGAACTGATGACTGAACTGAAAATGACCTTTAAACTGTGGGCAGCTGCTTATATTGAAAAAGATTCTGGCCATTGACAAGGTCAGTATCTGGGAATTGGTTCCAGCAAGTCTGGGAGAAACTTTATGCTCAAACAGATGGCAGAAGTTGATTGGAAACTGGATCTTCACAGGGAGATGATCAGTCTGATGGGGAGAGCCAAAGTTTTGAATCAGATTTTGAACTATGTTTTCTGGGAGGTGGTGTTTGGCTGTCGTAGGAACAGCATGAAGATTCAAAAGCTCCCTGCCTAGCATCCCATTACAAGTTTTTGCAATTTCAGAGAATAGATTCCAAGTTATAAGTATTACTGACTTCCTCTAAGTGGGCTGAAAAGGTGTTCCTAATCGACATCTTCAGAAAATCAACCTGGAAACAATCATCAATGCCTGTGGAACAAGGCATCATGAAAACCACTAAAGTATAGAGTCAAAGAGATATATCTAAAAACAGACCCCTCAGTTCAACTTGTCCATGCCGACCAGATATCCTAGATAAATTTAGTCCCATTTGCCAGCATTTGGCCCATATCCCTTTAAACCCTTCCTATTCATATTCACCCAGATGCCTTTTAACTGTTGTAATTGTACCAGCCTCCACCACTTCCTCTGGCAGCTCACTCCATACACGCACCACCTTCTGCATGAAAAAGTTGCCCCTTAGGTCCCTTTTAAATCTTTTCCCTCTCATCTGAAACCTATGTCCTCTAGTTTTAGACTCCTACACCTCAGGGAAAAGACCTTGTCAATTTGCCCCATCCATGCCCCTCATGATTTTATAACTCTCTAAATGGTCAGCCCTTAGCCTTCAACACTCCAGGGAAAATAGCCTCAGCCTATTCAGCCTCTCCCTATAGCTCAAACCCTCCAACCCTGGCAACATTCTTGTAAATCTTTTCTGAACCCTTTCAAGATTCACAATATTCTTCCTATAGCAAGGTGACCAGAAATGAATACAGTTTTCCAAAAGTGGCCTAACCAATGTCCTCTATAGCCACAATATGACCTCCCAACTCCTATACTCAAAGCACTGTCTAACAAAGGCAAGCATACTAAATGCCTTCTTCACTCCCCTATCTACCTACAACTACACTTTCAAGGAACTATAAACCTGAACTCCAAGGTCTCTTTGTTCAGCAACAATCCATAAGACCTTACCATTAACTGTATAAGTCCTGCCCTGATTTGCCTTTCCAAGATGCAGCAGCTCATATTTATCTAACTTAAACTCCATCTGCCACTCCATGCCCGTTGGCCTAGCTGATCAAGATCCCGTTGAACTCTGAGATAACTTTTTTTGCTGTTCACAACACCTCCAAGTTTGCTGTCATTTGCAAACTTACTAACCATACCTTCTACGTTGATATCCAAATTATTTATATACACAACCCAGCACCAATCCTTGTGGCACACCACTAGTCATAGGTCTCCAGTCTGAAAAGCAACCCACCACCACTATCCTCTGTCTTCTACCTTCGAGCTAGTTCTGTATCCAAATGGCTAGATCTCCATTAATTCCATGTGATCTAACCTTGCTAACCAGTCTACCATGAGGAACCTTGTCAAATGCCTTACTGAAGTCCATATAGATCACATCCACCGCTCTGCCCTCATCAATCCTCTTTGTTATTTCTTCAATAAACTCAATCAAGTTAGTGAGACATGACTTCCCACACACAAAGCCATGTTGACTATCCCTAATCAGTCTTTGCCTTTCCAAATACATGTAAATCCTGTCCCTCAGGATTCCCTCCAACAACTTGCCCACCACCAATGTCAGGCTCACTGGCCTACAGTTCCCTGGTTTTTCCTTAGCACTTTTCTTAAATAGTGGCACATTAGCAAACCTCCAGTCTTTGGAACTTCACCTGTAGCTATTGATGATACAAATATCTCAGCAAGGGGCCCAGCAATCACTTCCTTAGCTTCCCAGAGTTCAAGAGTACACCTGATCAGGTCCCGCGGATTTATCCTCCTTTATGCGCTTTAAGATGTCCAGCACCTACTCCACTGTAATATGAACATTTTTCAAGATGTTGCTATTTATTTCCCCACGACTTATATCTTTCATATCCTTCTCCACAGTAAACACTGATGCATTTAGCATTTCCCCGATCTTTCGCAGTTCCACACTTAGGCTGCCCTGCTGATCTTTAAGGGGCCCTATTCTCTCCCAAGTAATTTGACTAGTTTTATCGTTTTCTTTTATTTATCCCTTAACTGTGTTCATCCATCTTTTGTGTGCATGGGGCTGAAAACAAATTGTATTGGCTTTGAACGTAGACGTCAATTAGATTACTTTGTTTAATTTTGCTCTGCAAAAGTTACTGTATTATTCATAAATTTCTAAGCCCTTTGTTGAAGCAACAATCTGGTATTGGGAATCGATTATTCAGAGTTTGGGATTGGTTGTTAGGAACTTTTGGAGTCAATTTTGAAGGTCTTTGAAGTTTTTAATTTTACAGCGCTGCAAATACAGAGAGAGATAGGCTGATTTGGTTTAGTTGTCTTCCCAGATTTTGTCATCAGCAGTAATATAACATGCCGGCCGTTCTTAACACTTATGCTGCTTGACAAACGGTAAAGGCTTTTGCAATGAAAAATGCAGTTATTACGAATCAAAAATTGCAGTGCCCTGACAGTGGAACTGAAAACTGAGTGTAAAATGATATGTTTCCTTAACGAGTCAAATTCAAGAATTCTTGTGAAGATTCCATGAGTCAAACCAGGAAATGTAAGAATGTTTAATTCAGTCAAATTCTTTATGCAAAGTGAAATAAAGAGAAGAAAAATGAAATAAGATTACAAAAGACTAAAGAGACAGAAAAAATGTTTCTTTTACAACTTTAAAACCGCCAACAATAATTGAAATCTGAAGAACGAGATTCCACATTTTATACAAGTTAATTTTCCATGTCAGAGAAGGTGTTTGGTAACAATGAAGACTTATGCAGGCTTTAAAAATTTACCAGCACTTAAATAGGTAAGCTCTAATCTTCGTCTACAGGTGTCAGGCTGGAAAATCACAGGAGGTCAGGCAGCATCCGAGGAGCAGGTAAGTTAACGTTTCGGCTCAAAACGTTGACTTACCTGCTCCTCAGATGCTATCTGACCTGCTGTGATTTTCCAGCCTCACACCTATAGAATATGGCTTCCAGCATCTGCAGTCCTTATTGTCTCCACACTCTAACCATTGCTGTGTTTCATATGTACAACAAATAGAAGGCTTTCCAAGTCTTGACTGCTGAGCCTCTCAGTGAGATACAGGCACAGCACAACTTGGAGGAGGATTAGGACAGCTTAGATGCCAACTTCCTTTTTTCTGTGTTTTACTGTGCATGCGTAGATTCTGGAAGCTGTGGTCCAATTTACTCCTTGGTAATGGTGAGTGCTAATCATCTCATGATTACTTTCATTGCAAAATCCTGGCTGCTCAATTTTACAATTTCAGGATCCAATTATTAGTTCTATTACCTCACCTTGTACAGTCCACGAACACCTTCATTCTGATATATTTTCAAAAGGGCATGCAACATGCCTCTGTACTGTTTCTTTGATGGATCAAATCCTGCATCATACTGCAGGACTAACCGAGTCTTCGTTACCCAAATCGGATTTGTAATACAGAGCGTCACTGCACCTGAAAAATACATGTACCTGTGCTGAAGGAGACAAATCAGTACTAACCTGAAAGAGTTTCTTATGGAAATTAATACTTTACAAGGTGACTTGCTTAGCTTTTACACTTTTAATAACCTGAATGTTGTTATTCCATTCTATACTTTCTGAAAACATTTTAAGTCTAACACAATGAACTCACATAAGGGAGTGCAGTTATGTACGTAGAAATACTTCGAATTGCGCAAAACAATTAAAATGTCTTTCCACATTTGTGATCCTTTTTCCAGTTATCACAGCTCCTCTCACAAAAATATTTGAGATGCATTCCATGAAGTGTAAGACAATAGGATTGGAAATATCATTGATAAACAGAAGTCAAGCATCAATAATAGTGGAACAATTCCCTCCTAGCTCTAATTAGAGGCTTTACAATTTACTGATTGCAAAATATTGTTAAGAATGCAAAATCTGTCAATATTTCTCTTGGGGATAATTATTTGACACATAACCCCTGGTACACTTAGTTAAAGTTCGACAGTGATCTGCTCAAATGCCAAACAAAACATCAAGCGGTGTTAGAATGATATTAGGCATGCTTGAATCATAAAAAATAATTTTTCACTCTCAAAATAATTGTGAAATGTATTTTTGAGAGAATGAGACAGGCAAAATAAAAAGAGAGCTAAAGTGAAAGGGTTGCCGTAGACAGGGAGGTGCATCCAAAAGGGCACTTTTTCATATACCACGTATCAGAATACAGTGAGCAGTTGCAGAACAGAAGTATTCACACAACAGTTTAATGTAAGAATCTACTACTTACAGTTAAATCAAAAAATGAATGCAAAAACATTAGTTGAGAATAATATGTTTCAATATTACATTGTTCTTTGAATATCATTACTTTTTCTTTCTAGTGTTACCATTTTAATCAGAATACAATAAGCTATTTTCTGACTGATCAGCTTCAAATTATTTGTAGGACACATACAGAAAACATCAAAATCATCAACCCAAATGTTGCAGTTGCAATAATGGCAAATCTGACTGCATTTCCACCATTACCCTGTAGAACTGACAACTCTGGCATCTGAATGAGCTGTGATCTGTGGAAGTCAGAAGTTGTTGTCAGTGATTCCCCATACACCTACAAGGCGCACAGTTGCAGCGCACGCGTAAGGCAAACTTGAACTGATGAGATCTTTATAAAATTGACATGCTAAAAGGAAATTGATAAGTTCCGTTGATTAATGAAGACATGGAAATATCAGCTTTTTCAATATCAGATGGGCCTTATTAATGAAAATTCATACTACTTAAGAATGAAAAATGCACCAGCAAAATTCCATAATTAACCAACAATGTAACTGAGAGTCTATGTAACCTCACAGTTTACATCAATAACTTGGCCGCATTCCACCAAATCTGGGAAAAACATTCATGCCACTTAACTGAACTGTTTGGTCAGCTACAAAGAACCAAGTTAGTTATAAATCTGTCAGAAAAGAAGCATATAGAAAAGTGAAATTAAGAGATACTTTGGATTTTCCCATGACTGGGACAAAAATACAAAATATATTGGTACGATTACAACTTATCCAAATTTCAGTACCATAAAAACCAAAAGAACTGCAGATGTTGTAAATCAGGAACAAAAACAAAGTTGCTGGAAAAGCTCCGCGGGTCTGGCAGCATCTGTGGAGGAGGAAACAGAGTTAACGTTTCGGGTCCGGTGACCCTTCC